TGAACAACTGTGAACTGTTTATCAAGGGTCCAAGAGAATGTACATGAAACATCCTGAAGGGGTTTGTTTCATTTAGGTTTGGCTTGCAACCCACACCAAAAGGAGCAGTTGTCACCACGTTTGGTCAACAGGACAAGCTGCTTGCATTTCTGAGGACTGATGTGATGTGACGCAAATTGGAGGCCCACTAAGGTGTATATACGTAGACTTCGGTAGACTTCGGTAGACTGGTAGACCTGCAAGATTCTGAAAGCGATGATGTCTACCCGACAATGACGGGTGATGAAAGCACTTTCTTGGACATGCTTGTGGAATCCTGCAAAACGACAAGCTTGCACAGCCAGTTCAAATCAAGAATTGTAAATCAGTCATCCACTTCTCTTACCGGAATTTTGATTTCATGACCGCAGGTATTGATCTTGGGTCTTCAAACTGGAATTTAGAAGCTTCCCTTTTTTCACGAAAGCTAACGGTAGCTAGCTGGAATTTACTCTTGCTTCCACAAGGGAGGGGCAGCTCCGATTCCAACACAGTGATGTTTCACGTGAACCCCCCCAAGTTCACGGGGCATTTTGGAGCGGTCTTGGAAGCAGACGGTCATGGGCTCAAGCCTGCCAGGGTCTCGACAATCTGTCCTAATTATAAAAGGGCTACGCCCCCTGCCGCCGACCCCAGTACGATGGAAAGCAATTTGGATACCGGGGAGGGCAAGGTGACTACATGGCTGGCTTTATTCAAGATCCCCCAAAAGTAGGAAGCAGATCACATCTCAACATCTAAGCTGAGGTTCATTTTGCAGATGCAAAAAAAACATTGTACTGGATGGTCCAGGAAATTTTGGACACATCAATCGTCGTGCCAAACGTCGCTTTCTGAACTGCCTAGACACTGGTTTCACACCTCCCAGCACTGCCAGTCAAGCTTCGCTCAAAGACCGGTCTCGCAGGGTCAAAACACCATGGCAGTGCAGTACGGATCGGGCCCGCGGCCGGCAGCCCGTAGTGCCAAACGTCGCTTTCTGAACTGCCTAGAAACTAGTCTCACACCTTCCAGCACAGCCAGTAAAGCTTCGCTCAAAGACCGGTCTCGCAGGGCCAAAACACCATGGCAGTGCAGTACGGATCGGGCCCGTGGCCGGCAGCCCGTAGTGCCAAACGTCGCTTTCTGAACTGCCTAGAAGCTAGTCTCACACGTTCCAGCACTGCAAGTAAAGCTTGGCTCAAAGACCGGTCTCGCAGGGCCAAAACACCATGGCAGTGCAGTACGGATCGGGCCCGCGGCCGGCAGCCCATACTGCCAAACGTCGCTTTCTGAACACTGCCAGTAAAGCTTCGCTCAAAGACCGGTCAAAACCCCATGGCAGTGCAGTACGGATCGGGCCCGCGGCCGGCAGCCCGTCGTGCCAAACGTCGCTTTCTGAACTGCTTAGAAACTGGTCTCACACATTCCAGCACTGCCAGTAAAGCTTGGCTCAAAGACCGGTCTCGCATGGCCAAAGCACCATGGCAGTGCAGTACGGATCGGGCCCGCGGCCGGCTGCTCGTCGTGCCAAACGTCGCTTTCTGAACAGCCTAGAAACTAGTTTCGCACGTTCCAGCACTGCAAGTAAAGCTTCGCTCAAAGACCGGTCTCGCAGGGCCAAAACACCATGGCAGTGCAGTACGGATCGGGCCCGCGGCCGGCAGCCCGTAGTGCCAAACGTCGCTTTCTGAACTGCCTAGAAACTGGTCTCACACCTTCCAGCACTGCCAGTAAAGCTTCGCTCAAAGACCGGTCTCGCAGGGCCAAAGCACCATGGCAGTGCAGTACGGATCGGGCCCGCGGCCGGCAGCCCATACTGCCAAACGTCGCTTTCTGAACTGCCTAGAAACTAGTCTCACACGTTCCAGCACTGCCAGTAAAGCTTCGCTCAAAGACCGGTCTCGCAGGGCCAAAACACCATGGCAGTGTAGTACGGATCGGGCCCGCGGCCGGCAGCCCGTAGTGCCAAACGTCGCTTTCTGAACTGCCTAGAAACTGGTCTCACACCTTCCAGCACTGCCAGTAAAGCTTCGCTCAAAGACCGGTCTCGCAGGGCCAAAACACCATGGCAGTGAAGTACGGATCGGGCCCGCGGCCGGCAGCCCATAGTGCCAAACGTCGCTTTCTGAACTGCTTAGAAACTGGTCTCACACCTTCCAGCACTGCCAGTAAAGCTTCGCTCAAAGACCGGTCTCCAGGGGCCAAAACACCATGGCAGTGCAGTGCGGATCGGGCCCGCGGCCGGCTGCCCGTAGTGCCAAACGTCGCTTTCTGAACTGCCTAGCAACTGGTCTCACACCTTCCAGCACAGCCAGTAAAGCTTCGCTCAAAGAGCGGTCTCGCAGGGCCAAAACACCATGGCAGTGCAGTACGGATCAGGCCCGCGGCCGGCTGCCCGTAGTGCCAAACGTCGCTTTCTGAACTGCCTAGAAACTAGTCTCACACCTTCCAGCATTGCCAGTCAAGCTTCGCTCAAAGACCGGTCTCGCAGGGCCAAAACACAATGGCAGTGCAGTACGGATCGGGCCCGCGGCCGGCAGCTCATACTGCCAAACGTCGCTTTCTGAACAGCCTAGAAACTAGTCTCACACGTTCCAGCACTGCCAGTAAAGCTTCGCTCAAAGACCGGTCTCGCAGGGCCAAAACACCATGGCAGTGAAGTACGGATCGGGCCCGCGGCCGGCAGCCCGTAGTGCCAAACGTCGCTTTCTGAACTGCTTAGAAACTGGTCTCACACCTTCCAGCACTGCCAGTAAAGCTTGGCTCCAAGACCGGTCTCGCAGGGCCAAAACACCATGGCAGTGAAATACGGATGGGGCCCGCGGCCGGCAGCCCGTAGTGCCAAACGTCGCTTTCTGAACTGCCTAGAAACTGGTCTCACACCTTCCAGCACTGCCAGTAAAGCTTCGCTCAAAGACCGGTCTCGCAGGGCCAAAACACCATGGCAGTGCAGTACGGATCGGGCCCGCGGCCGGCAGCCCGTAGTGCCAAACGTCGCTTTCTGAACTGCCTAGCAACTAGTTTCGCACCTTCCAGCACAGCTAGTAAAGCTTCGCTCAAAGAGCGGTCTCGCAGGGCCAAAACACCATGGGAGTGCAGTGCGGATCAGGCCCGCGGCCGGCTGCCCGTAGTGCACAACGTCGCTTTCTGAACAGCCTAGAAACTAGTCTCACACGTTCCAGCACTGCCAGTCAAGCTTCGCTCAAAGACCGGTCTCGCAGGGCCAAAACACCATGGCAGTGCAGTACGGATCGGGCCCGCGGCCGGCAGCCCGTAGTGCCAAACGTCGCTTTCTGAACTGCTTAGAAACTGGTCTCACACCTTCCAGCACTGCCAGTAAAGCTTGGCTCCAAGACCGGTCTCGCAGGGCCAAAACACCATGGCAGTGAAGTACGGATCGGGCCCGCGGCCGGCAGCCCGTAGTGCCAAACGTCGCTTTCTGAACTGCCTAGAAACTAGTCTCACACGTTCCAGCACTGCCAGTAAAGCTTCGCTCAAAGACCGGTCTCGCAGGGCCAAAACACCATGGCAGTGCAGTACGGATCGGGCCCGCGGCCGGCTGCCCGTAGTGCCAAACGTCGCTTTCTGAACTGCCTAGAAACTAGTCTCACACCTTCCAGCACTGCCAGTCAAGCTTCGCTCAAAGACCGGTCTCGCAGGGCCAAAACACCATGGCAGTGCAGTACGGATCGGGCCCGCGGCCGGCAGCCCATACTGCCAAACGTCGCTTTCTGAACTGCCTAGAAACTAGTCTCACACGTTCCAGCACTGCAAGTAAAGCTTGGCTCAAAAGACCGGTCTCGCAGGGCCAAAACAACGGATCGGGCCCGCGGCCGGCAGCCCGTAGTGCCAAACGTCGCTTTCTGAACTGCTTAGAAACTGGTCTCACACCTTCCAGCACTGCCAGTAAAGCTTCGCTCAAAGAGCGGTCTCGCAGGGCCAAAACACCATGGCAGTGCAGTACGGATCAGGCCCGCGGCCGGCTGCCCGTAGTGCCAAACGTCGCTTTCTGAACAGCCTAGAAACTAGTCTCACACGTTCCAGCACTGCCAGTCAAGCTTCGCTCAAAGACCGGTCTCGCAGGGCCAAAACACCATGGCAGTGCAGTACGGATCGGGCCCGCGGCCGGCTGCCCGTAGTGCCAAACGTCGCTTTCTGAACTGCCTAGAAACTGGTCTCACACGTTCCAGCACTGCCAGTCAAGCTTCGCTCCAAGACCGGTCTCGCAGGGCCAAAACACCATGGCAGTGCAGTGCGGATCGGGCCCGCGGCCGGCTGCCCGTAGTGCCAAACGTCGCTTTCTGAACTGCTTAGAAACTGGTCTCACGCCTTCCAGCACTGCCAGTAAAGCTTCGCTCAAAGAGCGGTCTCGCAGGGCCAAAGCACCATGGCAGTGCAGTGCGGATCGGTCGGCACATCGCTTGTGCCTCGGGTTTTTCCTCGCTTGTGCCTCGTGCCAAACGTCGCTTTCTGAACTGCCTAGAGACTCACACGTTCCAGCACTGCCAGTCAAGCTTCGCTCAAAGAGCTGTCTCGCAGGGCCAAAACACCATGGCAGTGCAGTACGGATGGGGCCCGCGGCCGGCAGCCCGTAGTGCCAAACGTCGCTTTCTGAACTGCCTACCCAGAGTGCGCCTTATTGAAAAGATTCAACAGAAAACGCATATTTCAACAGTGAAGTCTTGTTTCAACAGAAACACAAAAAGCTGTTGAAATAGAAAGGTGCATTTTTTAAAAGCCTTGTTGAAAAAACCAACAGAGCCCTTATTGTTTTTTCAACAGGATCCTGTTGGCTTAGAATGTATGAATCTGAAGAAAATGAACAGCTTTTTCAGAAACATGTGGCCAGCATGTGGTGCCACTTCCTGAGACAGCTGCTTCCTTTTTCAAGGGCACAATGAGGCAAAGTCAGGGTGATAGCCCTTTTGCAGGACCATAGACAGCCCTTTTGCAGGACAGATGCAGCCCTTTTGCAGGACTCACAGTCCCTCTTCAGAATCCACCAGGTCAAAGTCACCATGTGTCACCCTCAGGTGCAGTCCCAATCTATATCTCCAGGCAACCTTTGCAGGCACCAAATGTGGAGGAGTGCCATTGAGGCAGGCGTGCCCAAGAGAGGCCATGAAGCCCACCATTGTTTCACCAGAGTATGTTGACACAAACCTGCAGTTCAAGTGCCTAAATTGTTCTGGCATATGGCAAGCCAAGTGGTGCTTGTGCACAGTGTTCCATTGAAGAATGCTCTGAGAGATTGCAATCTTGGCAAGCTTGCTGTAATGGAGTAAACATTTCTCTGTGCTCCTCTTGTACTGCTCATATGCTGACTCATCAGGATGCAGCCCCTGGCACTCCATAGCTTCATACATTTGGTTGAGGTTCTTGATGCACTCAAGCCTGTGCTTTTTGTAAGAGCTCTCATCGACCAAATCCTGGCTGAGTTCCAGGAGTGGAGGGATGAGGTGTCTCACCTGTTTTGCTTTCACACCTGAGAGCTCAGGAAAACTGTCCCACTTCTTGTTGGGCTGGCAGAAAGTGGACAAGTGAAGTCTTCTCACTTGGTTGCTGGAGTCTGTGGCCAGCTCAGTGTATAAGCCAGACAGTTTTCTGAAAAGTTCCTTCAGCCTGGCTTCAAAAGAGCTGCCTGGCAATTCTGCCTTCACCACCATGTCAAACATGAAGTTGGCCACAATGTGGGCTGAAACACCCAGCTCCAAGATGTGCAGAGAGTCATAGGCCAAGGTGTAGCCATTGATGCCTGGCACTGTCATGATCAGGTGGTCTGTGGGGTTGCTGCCCTTATGGTTCTTGATGGTCTCCCTCCATTTGGCTCCAGCTCTATAGTCATTGTGTGGGTGACTGGACCTGTTTGCCCCACAGCTCCAACAGCACTCTGCATGGGAACTTCCTGGCAGCTTGTATTCATTTTGAAAGAACTCGCCATCTGCTGTGATGGCAAAGATCATTCCACAAAGCCCTGCAGAATTCAACAAGGTTCCTGCCTTTTGGCCCCTTGCTGACTTGTGCTGCCAGTCTTTGCCATCTGCAGCTTTCTCTGGAAATTTGCCGAAGTACATATGTTGCATTGACCAGGTCAGCACTGACCAGAGGCAATGCATGGTATCTTCAGCAAGAATCTCAGATTTGTGGATTGCAGACTTTGGAAGGGCTAGGAGGAGCATCTGGCTGTGGGCTACACTGGATGAAGATAGCAGTGATCTCATGTTCAGCACCAGAATGCTATCTGCTCGCTGGAATGCCCCACCATCCCCATGAAGAATGAGGGGCAGGTACTTGCCACATCCTTCCTAGGTAAGAAGCAGGCAGGCACAAGAAAGTGGGCCAAGGCAAATGCTTGTGAGAAGCAGCTGGGTGAACAAGTCTGCTGCCAAGAAGCATCCATGATTGGATTGCCATCCAATTTGGGGTCACCCATGGGATGATTCTCCCAGAATTCCTCCAGTTGCTCAAAGCCAGCAGCTTGCTCCTCTAGCCGTAGCCATGCAAACCACTCATGTGGCAAGTACAATGCCACTGGCTTGACAGCAACCACCCAGTCATCTGCAGTTCTCACACGAACAGGGGTGTCAACAAAGTAGGGCTCAGGAAGCTTGATGCTGTCTGACTTGCAATACTTGGAAATCATTTGGGAGGCTATGTGCTCAGAAGACCTCCCATAGTTCCCCAGTGAAGCCAATTGCTGCAAATCAGCAGAGTTAGCACCACTCTTGGTTGCTGCCAATGCAAGAGCTTGGACAGATGGCCCCTGAGCTTCACCATATGGTCTAAACAAGAATTACCTGCAAGCATCCTGCACAAGTTAGATGCTGCCAAGGGGCACTCATCCCTGAGGCGAAATGCTCCAACAGAGATAAGCCAAGGGGTGAGAACTCTTCTTCTTCTCTATGGGGTCCTGCAGGTTCCTGGTACTTTTTCCTCTTCCATTTAGCCATGGCTGTTGAAGCCCTTTTGCAGGACCAGTCTAAGCCCTTTCAAAGGACTTATAATCCTTATGGCTGCCTGAAGAGCCAAGCAACTGCAGACACATGCCTTTTTGCAACAAGGCTTTCCAAGTCAGTGTTGCTTGTCAAAGTGTCAAGGCGGGTGTGTTTGGACAGGAAGCAGCTGCCTTCCTTTTGCACCAAGGCCATGCTGAAAGGTCCATCACCCTATAGGGGTACATAGCCCTTTTGCAGGACCAAATTGAGAAAGCCCTTTTGCAGGACCAACTTGACAAACACTGCAAATAAAAATTTGCAGAACCATGTTCAAGAAAGCCCTTTTGCAGGACCTGCAAAACTTCTCCCCTCACATTTTCTTCACCTTCTTGATCTGGATGGCAGCATCAAAGAGCTTCCCCTTCGCATCCTCCAGGCTTACCTTGTCCCCCATCTTTTGCAGCTTCTCAAGCTTTGCCAGGCATTCATCCAAAGGCTTTCCCTTTGCAGCACCAACATCCTTTTTGACTGCCTTCAGTAGCTTGACCATCCTGGTGACCCTGAGAGCAGCTTCCTTCTTTGGCAGGGCCTTGCCCACCTCAGACAGGACTTCAGCCTCTGCCACTTGGCCATCCTTGTCTCTTTTTTTGTCAGGGCTATCTTCATCTTCCTTCTCATCCTCACTCTTGTCTTTCAAGGCCAGGGGCTGCTTGTTGCCGGAGCCCTTGCTGTTACTGGGCAAGACATCCTGGAGGGCCTTGTCTGCCAGGGTCTTGTCCTCAGCTCCATCCTCCAGCAACCCCTTTGCTTTCAGCTCCAGCCAGTGTGCTGCTTCAACCTTCACATTGCTTTCCCCTTGGAAGCTATGCCTGGCCTCCTCCTCAGTCCATGCCACAGACTTTCTCAAGCTGAACTGCCACTCATGTCTGTCAGCTGGGTCCCTTCTGCAGGCAATGCTTCCTCTCTTGACCTTGTGTCAATTAGCAATGGCTGGCAGTAAGTGGGCAAGGAACAGCTTGCATGAAAATAAGTGCCAGCAAGTTGCCCTCCTGAGGCATTCCTGCAGCCCAAACCTCTTGAGGATGGCTTGGAAGGGCACCCACTCCTCAGTGTGCCTTTCACCTCAGAGATGCTGGCACAAGAAGCTCTACCACAAGGTCTTCACACACTGCTTGCTAGGCAAAATAATTGCAGCCAAGGGACCACTGCTTTTGCTGTAGGTCAGCAGCTCCTTGTGCCAGAGGTCCTTCTTGCCTTTCAGGTCACCCCCCAGCTTCAAGAAGGTGCCCAGCAGCTTCTTCTTTGGGCCATCTGACCCCTTGCCCTTGGCCACTTCTGCCCACATGGCATCAGCCTCACCATCCTTCAGAGAAGCCCTTGCACTGGCAAACCTCTGCCACAAAGCTTCCCTTTGCTGCTTAGTCAGGGAATCCAAAAAGGAACCCACATCCTTGTTCCCCTTCTTCCTGAAGAGCTCCATCTTGTCTTCCAGGCTCATCCCTTCTTTTCTTTCAAGGCTTTCCAAGCCACTGGCACCTGGCCTTTTGAGGTTGAGCTTCAAGACCTTCATGGCTTTCATGGCTTTGGGTGGCATTTTGCTCAAGCCCTTTCCCAAGGCCTATGCTCTAAAGCCTTTTTTGCAAAGGCACACTGAGACCTTTTGCAGGCCCCCCTCCTTTTCACAGAAAAGAACAGCAGCTACTAAGCCAAAAGTTGCTGGCAAGTACAGCTTGGCATGACTGGGCCTTCATGGGCAGCTTCCAGCTCTCAACCGTGGAGCATGGCCTTTTTTTCCTTTTGTGGTGCCAAAAAAAATTCCCCAATTTTTCAACTTTCTGGAATATTTCCAAAAAGGCCAAACCTCATATGATATCATATGAGCTCATATGAGCTAAGGCATCCTCATATGAGACATGTTTT